TATGATGTACAGTACCTTAATTCACAACCAATGTGGAGGTACGCTTGGAACTAACAAAACGGTTTTTTTTTTCTTTAATTTGGGACTTGATTCGTTTTTGTGTGGACCCATTCAGCTGAGACGTTAATTCGTTTGTTAAAATGTACTATGTCATTCCCCGTGTAGTTTTAGGAAGCATTCCTGGGGTAAAACTATTAAATCTTATATACATCAGAACTTTTTTCGTATATGCAGGTCCAGCTACCGTATTAAAGAAACGAATCGTTCCGAAAACTGTGAAATTGTGTCACCCGACAGTATTTTCCTAGAAATGAAAATTCGATTGGGTGCTTTGTCGAAGTATACAACTGTTGGAAAATTCAATTTGCTATAGAAACTTCGGTCGTTTAAAAGCGTATGCCCAAGTTGAAGAATAAGAATTCATAAGTATATTCTGGAGGAAAAAAACATGACTAAATTAATCAAATGATTCCTCCAGGATACCGGAGACATACCAATTGGTTTTGTTTTCGGTATATAGATGCATCATAACAAATAAACAGATGTGAACCTTCTCTGACTAAGACCTTGTCAAAGTTATGTAAAGCTTTCTCATAACATTCTGAAATCACCACATTTCTAAGAAGGGTCGAGTTTCTTTAAAGTTATAATCTCTTCACTGCTCTAATTACAATGTGATGCGCCTATAGCAGTTATTTTGGCAATTAATACTGTGTTTTATTTGCAGATAAACTCATTTGAATTAAATGTGTTAATCTCGTTCTTCTGAGAAGGAGCTTACCCTAGCGTTCAATACATACCCATCAAACTGCTGTTTTTCAGATATGTTTCCCGATGCCTGTTTTTAAATTCTAGAAACGTATGATTTTCCCTGCAGAAGATTCCAATATAACTCGGATTTATCTTCGTTGTAAATTTGTTCTGGACATAGTCCAATTTCCTGAATTTTAGCTTATAGGTTAGTTTTGAACGGCTCCATTAAGTCCGGTCGCGAAGATAATTTTTCTTCTGAGATTGAATTCCATAACGCTTTTAATAATTTTGAAGCCATCCATCACTAGCAAAAATCCTTGAGCTGTCCATGCTTAATCTGGCATAAAACTTCTTAGCTTTTTATACTCTCGCAACCTGTTGCTACAGAGTATAATAGTTTTGTTCACCTAACGGTTGTTTGTATCACCTAAAATTAATCGAGTTAGATATAGGGTTATATATATATAAATGATCAGGATGAAGAGACGAGTTGAAATCCGGGTGACTGTCTGTCCGTCCGTCTGTCCGTCCGTCCGTCCGTGCAAGCTCTAACTTGAGTAAAAATTGAGATATCTTTATGAAACTTGGTAGACATGTTTCATGGTACCGTGAGACGGTTGGTATTGCAGATGGGCGTAATCGGACCACTGCCACGCCCACAAAACGCCATTAATCAAAAACAAATAACTTGCCATAACTAAGCTCCGCAATAAGATACAAGACTGTTATTTGGTACACAGGATCACATTAGGGAGGGGCATCTGCAGTTAAAATTTTTTTTAAAAAGTGGGCGTGGTCCCGCCTCTAATAGGTTTAATGTGCATATCTCCTAAACCGCTAATGCTATAATAACAAAATTCACTGGAAGCAAATGTTTTTAGCACTTCTATTGACGGTGTGAAAATAGTTGAAATCGGGTGGCAACTCCGCCCACTCCCCATATAACGGTACTGTTAAAAACTACTAAAAGCGCGATAAATCAAGCACTAAACACGCCAGAGACATTAAATTTTATCTCTGAGATGGTATAAGATGACTTTATAGGAACCGCGTTCAAAATTAGACAGTGGGCGTGGCACAGCCCACTTTTAGGTGAAACCCCATATCTTGAGATCTGCTCAACCGATTTCAACCAAATTCGGTGCATAACGTTCTTTTCATGTTTCTATGTCATAGTGCGAAAATGGGCGAAATCGGACTACAACCACGCTTACTTCCCATGTAACACCATTTTCAATTCCATCTGATTCTTTCACTTTCCACTATGCAAATCAGGTAACAATGATTATATCGGGGTAAAACTTTGCGTGAATAATGCAATTAAAGTATGCCACCTTGCGGCCAAAAATTGTCTAAATCGAACCAAAACTGTTCAAACCCCTAAGTACTAAATATGTGGACCCCAGTGCCTATAGTTGACCTTCTACCGAAAATATCAGTCAATCCACAAAGAAATCTCAAACGAGTATACCATTTGACCTTGCGAGAGTATAAAATGTTCGGTTACATCCGAACTTAGCCCTTCCTTACTTGTTCTCTTTAAAATAATATAAATAAATTAATAAAAACCATTTGTAAAGTGCCTTCTCCATTGTGGGAAGTTCTGATTCACGAAGCATTTTACATTTTCCAGTGGCCGATAGTGTATTGTTAACACACTATAAAAAATTTTTTTCGTTTTTAACAATTCCACAAATTGTGGACTTATCAATAGAGAATATTTTAGTGTTGGGAACTATAGAATGATTTCAACTATCGGCAGTTAATAACTAATTGATTTGGACAATCGAATAGCTTTTTCGTTCATTCATTCCTTTATTTATTCAAGTTTAATAGCTAAGGCCATGTCGCGTTCTTTAAAGAACAATTCAAAGTACTAGTATTTTATTAACTTTTATTTACATGAATACAAAGGTTTTTATGTTTTTTTTATTTGATTATATATTTTATTAAAACTTAAAAATAGTATAACGCAGTAAGAAATTTAATATAAAAATAAAAAGTATGTAAGAAAAAATACTAACTATATATCAAAATTGCAAGTTAAAACAAGTTCGGATGTAACCGAACATTTTATACTCTCGAAAAGTCAAATGGTATACTCGTTTGAGGTTTCTTTATATATTTTAATAATTAGAAGTAGGAACTGTTGCCTCAGTTATTTACTGACAACATCATTTATTATATGAATTTCAATTATATATCTTACACATTAACCGATTCAGTAAAAAGTCAACTATGGGCACTGGGGTCCACATATTCAGTACCTAAGAGCTTGAACAGTTTTGGTTCGATTTAGACCATTTTTGGTATTAAGGTGGTATACTTTAAACTCGTTATTCACGCAAAGTTTTACCCCGATACAATCATTGTTGCTTGATTTGCATAGTGGAAAGTGAAAGAATCAAATGGAATTTAAAATGGTGTTATAGGGGAAATAGGCGTGGTTGTAATCCGAGTTCGCCCATTTTCGCAATATAACATAGAAATTTGAGAGGAATGTTATGTACCAAATTTGGTTGAAATCTGTTAAGCAGATCCCAAGATATGCGTTTTCACCTAAAAGTGGGCGGTGCCCACTGTCTAATTTTGAACAGAGATAAAATTTAATGTCTCTGGCGTGTTTAGTGCTTGATTTATCGCTCTTTTAGTAGTTTTTAAAGGTACCGTTATATGGGGAGTGGGCGGGGTTGTCACCCGATTTCACCCATTTTTACACTGTCGATAGAGGTACTAAAAGCATTTGTTTCCAGTGAATTTAGTTATTATAGATTTAGCGGTTTAGGAGATATGCATATTAAACCTATTAGGAGGCGGGACCACGCCCACTGTAAAAAAAAATGTTAAACTGCAGATACAGCTTGCACGGACGGACAGATAGACAGTCACGCGGATTTCAACTCGTCTCTTCATCCTAATCATTTATATATATTAAATCCTATAAATATATTAATTATATTAATCCTATAATACAAAACTATTATACTCTGTAGCAACAGATTGCGAGAGTATAAAAATGTTGAGAAAGAATTAAACATCCATTATTTAATGAAATTGTGATCAAATTACAAGCAACCGTTAGGTAAACAAAACTATTATGCAACATGTTGCTAGAGTATAAATATTATTTGACCAAACTTTTGACCTTTTAGTCTTTTTAATCAAGTAGAGTTTAAAGATATAGTTTACTTTTATCCACGGGTAATTCTATTACTGGAACTGTGGAATCTCTCGATTTCTTTGTACTAAAGCTGTTACCTTTTCTGCCAACCATTTTTGAGCAATACCTGAGTTAGTTTCATCTCCAAAGGCAATATTTTTAAACCGTGGGCTTAAGAAAGTCAATTTGGCGCACACTATGTCAAACTCTAATTCGCCAAGTCGTCGCTAAATAACTTCCAAAAAACTAGTTTTTAAGCATTCTCCCTATGTAGTTTTGTTTTGCTGGTATCTTATTGCATATTGCAGCCCTCTGACTATAGGCACAACCAGTGATATTGTTAAATGCGCTATCGGCTTCAATACGTTGATAGAATCACGTAATCTTTTCCATTCTGATACATTTAGAAAGTTCGATGCAATTGGAAACGCAGTTATTACTGCAGAGAGCAGTTCTTTTGTCAAGCATATACGTACTAACATCAGAAGGCCCGAATTCCATCTAGTAGCAACATCTTGCTTCATCTTAGGTTTAGCAACATCCATTTGCTTTTAAGTTTTCTGCTGCTCGAGAACTATGATTGAAATATGTTACTATAGCTTTGAATTTCGTTATAAGCTCTGAAATCTAAGGAACAGCCTTTATGGCATCAACAACGCATAAATTTAGGGTGTTAGCCACACATGCGTGGTGGCGTTTTTGTAAAATATCACTTATCGCTTTTTTGATATTTGCGCCGTTATCGCTTACTATCATAAATATTTTGGTAAAAATTGATCACTAGTCAAAAATATTTTTTAATTCTGTGGAAATGGAGAAATGTGTGAAATATTTTGCAAAATGTTATGAAACTTTTCCATGTTGTATTATATTTTGCATTCAACATCGTGTTGGAAAGAAGTTTCCTGTTTGGGATGCAATACAAAGGCTGAAGCTTTTTTGTATATTCACAGAATTTTTCATTTTCGTCAATAGAGAGTTGTTGTAGATCTCTTGTAATCATTTTAATAAGAGATTCCTCGATACTTCTATTTTCGTTTTCTGAAAGCTCAGACCGCGTGCGTGTAACAAATAACTTTCTTTGCAGTGCCCTTCTTTTTTAATAGTTCACCACCTGAAACATGTCTATTAGGTATTGCTGAAGAACTTGTCGCAGTTTCCACGTTCACAGTTAGTATCAAGGAAGCATCATTGAAAAATTTCTATTGATACTGAATTCACATATCTTTCCATTGTAGAACAGCTTGGCATATCTAAGTTGCTTATAGCAGATGCTCGCCCGACTATCGCCGAAGGAATCTCCTCCACGCTAAGTGATAATGGATGCCTTCGTCGTAGGTGATCATTCAAATTTGAAGTATTACCAGAAATTTTAAAATTCTTTTTTTTTTTTACAAATATTACAGTTGACAATTTTTAATTTTTTACAAAAAAAATTCCTGGCCGTATTTTAGTTTGATTTAACCATATATTAAAATATTTTCAGCACTTTCTTTATAAAATAAAATTACATATTACCAGATATTCCAACAGAAAATATTGCAATTTAAAATGTTATACCAATATTTATATAAGTTGGGATCCAATGTAAACGTTTCAATATTGTTTGGTGGAAATACCTGACGTAAATATTACTGACAGTTAAAATTGCTTGCTTAATTCAAAACCATTGACATTTTTTTCAACCAACTGGAAACTGTTAAAAAAAGCTTGCCAAAACTCATCGACGACCACATGAATTTACTTTAGTCATTTTACTTATTTGTTGATGACCACTACATGATTCATAAATCTTTATTTATTACGAGTAGTATGAATATTTTTCACTTAAATCTATTTTAAGCATCTATTCACTTCTATTAATTAATATAATTTAACATAAATCATTCACCATAATTTAGAAATACACAATATAAGCATTATTCGTACATTTGCTGAATATAATATTAACAGTATACGAATAAATTAATTCGTACAAAACAGATTTGCTAGAAATCCATCGCATATACAAAATATCATTCATGTGATAAATCGTTCAAAATCTAAAAAATAATCATTCACGAAAACTTAGTAATAAATGAAAAAACTAGTAACGAACGAAGAATTTTTAATAAACGATGATTTTTTGAAAACTATAGAATGAATGTAATTTGCTGAACTATCGAATAACTTGAAAGTTTTTATTCGATAGTACCCATCACTAGAATTTTTTGGATAGAGCTGTGACACCTTCACCATTTTGACTGCGCTAATTAATTTAGCGTTTTTTGCTAAGCTCAAAACATTTAATTTCCGTTCCATTATGCAATAAAATACACATGATCTTAACCGCGAACAACTACGATTTCTAATGTATCCGTGTAATCCGTTCCCACGACAGTCGGGTCTACGTAACCGGAACGGACCCGGATTTTATCCGGCCAAGGACTGTCAACTCGGCAGAATTCTGCCGCTTCAACAACAACAACAACGATTTCTAATGAAAAATATCAATTAAAAGCGATGCAAACGTAAGAAAAAAGCCACCAGTATAGTATATTCAAAAGAAAAGTTACTAGTCGCGCCTTTAAATAACAAATGCTAACAACAACAGTGCACGCATTGGCTGTTACACAGCCACTAGCTGGATACTAACGTGGACATATTATATTAACAAACAACATGTATGAGTGTGCATGTATATAGTATATGCTATGTTTTCGCGTATAAAATACTAGAAAACTACTCTGTTCGAGTTTTAAAGCCATCAAATTTGGTTCGAGTTTTAAAGTAGCCAATAGAGAAGAAAAAAATTGAAGTTTCCGAACGTTCGAGTTATTGTGTGTTCGAGTTTTCACGAAAATATAAAATCTCTCGTTTGTTTTCTGGGCCTTAAGTTAGAGAATGTCGACTGTCAATTCCCACAACAGCTGGTTGTACGTTGCCATATTTTTTCCAGCCTACGGCTGTTGTTTCGGCAATCTAAACTTATTTGTCACCTTTGGAGCAACACCTCGCAACAGGTCGATCCTTGTGGCCAAAGCATAAGGGATCTCCATTTGTCAAGGTTAAGGAACATAGCGAACTTCCTGCAGTCAGTTTTTACTAGGAAGATTTTGCAGAAATAAATTTTTGATTACGACGACGATATGTACACCTCATTGACCAGACTACGGTCTTTCAGACATGAACTGAACTCCATTCACAGTGGACCTATTAACACTTTCATTGCCTTCTTCCCAGTGAATTGAGTCCTTGGAGTCAAACCACCACCCATAGTAAAAGTAAAACAGTAAAACTCTACTTATCCGGAATGGACTCCGAAATGCCAAACCCATGTCCGGCATGGAAAGAGTGCCCGTACTACTTTAACCAACTCCTTGCAAGCCCTAGGAAACGAACTCATATAACACCCTTTTCCTATGGTCCGACCTCTTCGAAAGAGCACGTTAGATGATTTTGATGTCAATTAATTTGCCTCTTGTCACTTAAATAGGGTCTGGATAACCACTACGACAACAAAAGAATGTCAACTACAAAATTTAAACTCAACCCTGAACTTCTTTGTAGATGTAAAATTAATTTAATAATAAGTCTTGTGGCAAAATACTAAGAAGCATTTTTTTTCTTTTTTTTTTTTTGCAGATTACATTGACTTTTAATTTGATACTGTAACACATTTCATCATACGCAGCTGTATATAGTGAATCCTAGCTATAAATGCAATATAAAAATGTCTGGATCAATTTACCGTGCATAAACAAATAGACTACAGACTATGTACTAGTTACAAATGCACACGCTAAGATAGTTTATAAAAAAAGCTTTTATTTACTATTAATTTAAAGATTGTATTTTTTGATTCAAAAAGACACTTTATTTGCAATTTCGTTGACATTTTAATGTTGAATTGGAATTTAATTTCGACAACTCATTTTGAAACTTTCTTTTGAAAATTTTTAAATTCGCGGAAATATATCATAAGATGCAAGATTTATGTAATACGTTTATTTATATATTACTTGAGTGAAAATGACACAATTTAAGCTTCATTACTAGCTTAAAGAATTTCAGATGAAATTCAAAGTTTATTGTTACTAGGTCAAACATCGATGCATCTGCATGATATCACTGCACGTGTTTTTAAACAAAAACTAAAATCTTTGATGAATTTGATTATGTATCACTTGGTATTTGGTGAAACACGTTTTTGGCTTTACTCTGTTGAATGGCAAAAACGAGGTTTACCTCATGCGCATATTTTGATTTGGTTGGTGGATAAAGTACGCCCAGAAGAAATCGACAAAATTAGTTCAGCCGAAATTCCAGATCCGAATGTTAATCAAGAATTGTTTGACATTGTAACTACTAATATGATCCATGTTCCATGTGGCACTCTAAACATGATGTCACCATGTATGGACAATGGAAAATGTACGAAACGTTTTCCAAAACCATGCCAATCTGATACTATCACCAGTATTGACGGTTATCCATCTTACCGGCGTAGAGACGTAGACAATGGCGGTCAATCATATGAATTGCGTCTGTCAAACGATGTGAGAGTAGATATTGATAATCGCTGGGTAGTTCCATATTCACCATTGCTGTGCAAAACTTATGAAGCGGACATAAACGTTGAAATATGTAGTTCAGTGAAATCTATAAAATACATTTGTAAGTATGTTCACAAGGGCAGTGATAAAGCTGTATTCGCTGTTCAAAATGTAAATGACAATGACGAAATTACACGTTATCAAATGGGTCGATACATAAGCAGTAACGAAGCTATTTGGCTCATTTTTACGTTTCCTATACATGAAAGGGATCCTGCTGTTATACATTTGGCTGCACATCTTGAAAACGGACAGCGTGTTTACTTTACAGAACAGTCTGCACTATAACAAGCTGTAACGGCGCCAAAAACAGCTCTTACTGAATTTTTCAACCTTTGTTGCAGACAAGATGTTGGTCAATTCGCAAGGACATTAATGTATACTGATATTACTAAATTTTTTACGTGGAATAAACAAACAAAAAATTGGGAACCACGGAAGCGAGGCATTCCAGTCCCAGGATTTACCGACATATTTATGACAAATACTTCAAATACTTAGATCGATTATATACAGTTCATCCTAAGCAACGCGAATGTTTTTTTTTTTGCGTTTGTTATCTTTCCGATTTTTGCGAAAAGTCAATGGTATATTATACGACACTTTCTTCGATGTGTGTCGTGAGTTACATTTATTGGAGGATGATAACCATTGGGATCTCACACTTGCAGATGTAGCACTGAGCTCATCTCCACAACAAATTCGTCAATTATTTTCAATAATATTGACAACGTGTTTTCCGTCTGAAGCATCTGCTCTGTGGGACAAATATAAAGACTCGATGAGTGAGGATATTTTACATCGGATTAGAATTACTAATCAAAATCAAAATATTGAATATAATAATGATTGAGGATATTTGTATTCTTATTTCGAATATGATGCTAATCCGTTTCGGCATGTCAGCGCCGAACCGCCTAGCAGTAGCTACCATCACCAGCGATGTTCAACGGGAACACAACTTCGATAGAACTTCTTTGGTTACTTTTGTTGCCAATAATGAACAATTGCTCACTGCTGAGCAACGAATTGTATATGATCAAATTAATGTATCAATTGCAGCGCAACAAGGTGGATTCTTTTATTTGGATGCACCAGTTGGTACTGGCAAAACATTCCTCATCTCATTGATACTTGCGCGCATCCGATCACAAAATAATATTGCATTGGCTATTGCTTCATCAGGAATCGCAGCAACGTTACTTGATGGTGGACGGACGGCGCATTCAGCGCTTAAATTACCTTTGAATGTTCACACAAATCCCGAAGCAATGTGTAACATAAAGAAGCATTCAGGCATCAGCCTCAAGTTTTGAGAAAATGCAAAATTATTATCTAGGATGAATGCATTCGCTTGAAGCTCTCGACAGATCCCTGAAAGATATCAAGGATAATACTAGGCTTTTCGGTGGTGCTCTATTGTTGCTGTCTGGTGATTTTAGACAAACGTTACCAGTCATTCCACGCGCAACATATGCAGACGAAATAAACGCATGTTTAAAAGAATTTTATCTATGGGGAAGTGTCAGCAAATTATGCCTTACTATTAATATGCGCGTTCAACTTCAAAGTGATCAATTAGCGTCAAGATTCTCTGAACAATTGTTGGATATTGGTAATGGTAAAATTGAATTGTATGAAGATACACAATATATTCGGCTTCCAGAGAATTTTTGCAACATGGTGGCTACCAAAGGTGAGTTAATAAACAGTATCTTTCCAGTTTTGAGACATAATTATACTAATCACGAATGGCTACGAGAGCGAGCAATTTAAGCTGCGATAAATTTAGACGTTGATGCCATCAATTTCAAAAAAAAAAAAAAGTTACTGCCTGGTAATGAAACTACGTTTAAATCGATCGACACTGTTGTTGATCCTGATGAAGTTGTTAACTATCCTGTAGAATTTTAAATTCATTTGATTTACCTGGAATGCCACCACATAATTTGCGACTGAAGATTGGTTCACCTATAATTTTGCTTCGAAATTTAAATGCTCCAAAATTATGTAATGGGACGCGATTAGTTATAAAAAAAAATCATGGGCAACATTCTTGAAGCCACTATTTTGAGTGGAAAATTTCAAGTGATGTTGTACTTCTACCACGGATCCCAATGATGGCTTCACATTCGTCTATACCATTTAAACGTTTACAATTTCCAATCCGATTGCTATGACTATATATAAGTCATAAGGCCAAACAATGACAATTTGTTGCTTAGATTTAGAAAATCCGTGCTTTTCTCACGGTCAATTATATGTTGCGTGTTCTAGAGTTGGAAAACCATCGAATTTGTTTGTTTATACGCCTCAAGGATTAACTAAAAATATTGTACATCCAATAGCATTAAGATAAATTAAGTTTTTGTAAATTAATAAATAAATGTTATAAAATAATTTCAGTGTAAGATTTTTTATCTTTACTTAAAACAAGTTAAAGTTTGTATTTACGATGCTGTTATTACCACACTCCACGGATAATATCCCAGACTGTAATCACTCATTTCATTCGCTTAAAATTTTCGGTGACGCCTAGAAATATCCGTGTCAATAATCATAGTGGCTGCTATTGTCCAGTCTACAAATTTCATCCGTGGAGTGTGGTAATAGATGCATCTTTTTAGTTAACAAAGCTTCTACATTTCACTTCACTCATACAGTATATGCATGCTTACACACACAGTATATGCATGCTTACACACACAGTATAGGTATATTCACATGCTACCGATTGGTCGAATTTGAATAAGTGTACATGTAATGACGTTAGATATTAAAATAACTCTTGAATAATAATTTTCATCAAAACGGTCCAGATTGTTATAGCTTATTAAAGAATGTTTGAAATTTTCGAATTAACGACGTGTGTACAGGACAACGTCTGTCGTCTGCTAGTGTATATATATATATATACATATACTAGCAAACCTGGCGAACTCCGTTTCGCCACCAGATGGCTTCGTTTTATGTAATATTTCGTTTGGTGATTAAAAGATGAAGAACATTTTTTTTTTGTTTTATATATGGAAAGGAAAAATTTTATTTCATTTCACAACAGTAATGAATTCATTTCGATTACAAAAATGAAGTGTTATTCTCTAAGTAAATGAAAGTGGATCCAAAGTAAATACTGAATCGAAGCGTTATACGTGTCCGCAAATTATCCGTTTCATTGAAGTGCTCTTTGGAAAACCACATTTTTTGTTTTTTGGTCTGACGTTAACACAAACAAAGCGGATGGTTTCCCAACTCGTGAACACGCAACGTATAACTGCCCATGTGAAAAACAATGATTTTCTAAATTTATCCCGCAAACACTAAGCGATTGGCCATGCGACTTGTTAATTGTCATTGCGAACGCAAGGCGAACTGGAAATTGCAATCGTTTGAAGTCAAACGGAAGATCAGTCGGAATCATTGGTATCCGAGGAATATATACATTTTCACCTGCGTAATTTCCGTTAATAATGGTTGCCTTAATCAAATTCGGCATAAGTCTTATTACCGAAAATCGAGTACCGTTGCAAAGTCGCGTTGGACGCGTTACGCAATATCATAATAACTGTACCAACTTTGAGTTGCAAGTTATGTGGTGGAAATCCTGGTAACTCCAGAGAGTTCAAAAACTCCGTTGGATAATTTACTACATCATCGGGATTTGTTATGGAATCAATGGAATTGTATGTCACCAAATCGCCAGCAATTTTTGATTGAATGGTAAAACTCAGTGCCTGTACATCATTATTCTTTGCGGGAAGAATTGCTCGTTGACTTAACCAAGCATAATTCTGATAATTCGCACTAATGGTTGGGAAAACATTTTCAAAAATAGCTAATTGAGAGTCTACAAATCGGCAAAAGTCGTTGGTAAGAGTAATTAATCCAGATGTCGCATCAACTGGGACTTTTCCATTTCCAACAGCTAACAATTGTTTGGAAAATTGTGCAGCAATTTGATCATTTTGAAGTTGAACTCTCATATTAATGGTCCATAAAGGTGATGCCTTCAGGCAAGCAGTCAATTCATCTGCAGCCGTCCACGGGGAATTACTGGCAACGTCTGCCTGAAATTGCCTGCCAACAATAATTGCAGCAACATCATTAACGGTGGGTGCATTGAATCTTCGCACATGTTTACCTGTTGGGGTACAATCCGCTCTTATGACAAATTTTTGCGTATCCGATGGCATTCGTTCCAATGCTGTTTTGAACATATTAACCACAGCATTATTAGCGTGAAAAAATGCTTGCAACTGTTCAATAATTCGTCTCTTTAACTGTTGTGTTCCCTGTATATTGCACCGCTCATTCAGCTGATCCACCATCGACGAAATGAAATATATTTGCAGAAATTCATGCGGTTCATCTGGTGTTGGCACCATTGAACCATGCAAATGATATATTTGTCCTTGTATCTGTAATTGCAAACAATCATTTGTTGAAGAATACGGTGTAACTTATGATCGTGTGATGGTGTTTTTTTTTTGTTTTGTTTTTTGTTTTTTATAGTAGGGGGAAGCATCGAAAGCCGAAGTGCGAAACTTTAATCCGCTAAACCTAACCTACTTTCAACCCAAATCTCTCCCACGGAACCACTGGACAAAGTATTACTTCATGGGAGAGAAGAAGACATTTAAGTCTCCTCTACGATACGGACTAACTGACTCCTAATCTGTTGTAAGTGTCTCAATCTTTTCATTATCAAAGCTGACGCTTCGCTGACTGTTTTCCATTTAATAGAGGACTCACACATAAGTGCTGTCAAATTTTCCACCGAGAAACTACCGCCAAGTGTGGTTTTCAGATTTTCTCTTATACTTGAGAACCGAGGGCAATGGTAAAAAACATGTTCAGAGTCTTCAATACACTCTGTACACGTCGGATAGTACGGACTGTAGTCATGTCGAAATTTGTAAAGGTAGCTTCTAAAGTACCCATGTCCACTTAGCATTTGGGTCAGGTGGAAATCCAGGTCCCCATGCTGTCTATCTATCCACGGTCTGATGTCTGGTATCAGTCTGTGAGTCCACCGTCCTTTGGATGAGGTTTGCCACCGTTGCTGCCACAGCGTAATGCTCTTGGTCCTTTCCTCTCTTTTTGATGGGATGGTGTAGTATGTGGTGTATATGTAGTTGTTATGTGTTGCAATTCATTGTGTTGGTGTGAGTGATTGGTTATGTGTGTCTTCTCGAATGATATTAGCTCCAAAGGAAGTCATGCGAAAGCAGTTATTGTATTCAAGGATGTGTTGAAGAAAATGGCTCGAATCGGGATCACTTCCATCGAACAATGATTTCAGTGGCTGTGGTGGTGTAAGTAATGGATCCAGTTTGACTTTTCCACTTGCGCAGCACAATCCAGCCGTTTCTCTTTTGAACTTTAACGCATTGCAATATCGGCATATAGTCATCATTGGTCCAATATCTAAGTTTGCATCATCACTGTAGTTCGCAGTGGGATCAGATTTGAATACCAAGCGATTGTATGGTGCCAATGATCTTCGTGTGCCACGCGTTGTCTCAATCGGGCATTTTCACTTATTATATAATATTTTGTCTTTCTTTGCTTAAGTTCTGTGAATACACTTGTTGCTGGCTTGCATGCTTGTGCGGCGGCCGATGTTGGCACGTCGTCCTCTAGGCATTTTGGACTATGGACAGAGTGGTGAATTTAACCTCAAATGCACGCTCCACATAATTTATACAGTTCAACTTACCACCTTAAAGACAAATGCCTGTTGTTGAAATTGAATAAAAATTTGCACAATACACGTGATTGATTTGATGGTTTCCAATTGAAATGTTAGGGAACGAATAACTTATTTTTCACAATTTCACAGTGAACACAATACCGGTTTGTCACATGAAATTAATGTATCACAATGTATCACGCACCGGCGCCATCTACTTAAAATATTGGTTTGTAGTACATGCTATGTATCAGAGATGGCGCTGTATGTGAAAAAAGATTTTCCCGCTTTTCTGTTGAAATATTTCCTGAATTTTCTTTGCTATAAACTTCACGGAGCCCGAGACCTTTCCAACGAATACAAATCCGTGGAAATCGGTTCGTGCTTTCTGGAGTTATAGCGTCAGGAAGGAAAACCCGACTTATTTTTATATAATAGATATGTACGTATACATATATATACAATATATATGGAATTGTAATAAAATGTGGAAAAATGGATATTGATAACTATTTTAAATGGTAATGTAATTTTTTTCTTTGTATTAAAACTGTGTGGTTAAAATAATAAGTTCCCAGAAAATTTTAAGCTTACACATTTATGGATATATTTACTGTATGTAGATTTATACAAAATAAACGGAGTAATATTTCCGTTATGAAGAAAAATTATTTTAATATTAACTGGAGCAGAGTAAAATAGTACATTCCCCAGCATTGAGCACTTGTAACTAAATATTATAAAATACATATTAAAAGTTAAATTCAGAAGACATCTGGAAAATATATTGGTTTACAGTATTATATATTATATTATATAGTTTTGTTCTGTGGTATCTTTGTATAAAATTTTCCAACGAACTGCTTTGCATTAAAATTTTTTTAGATTACAGGTCTTGTTACGGTTACTAATTCAGCTGGTTTTCAGTTGAGGTTTTAAAATTTGGTATTATCGATATCGACTAAATGACAATCCGTAAAATAATTTTAGTTGACGATTTGACTTTTTGGAACAATAGAGAAGTTTATTTCCGAAAAATTAGTTTTAAACCATTTTTATTAGTTATTTTGTAGAAATACATACAAGAAACTAAAAACTTGTTGAGTTCGAGGAAAAAATCGTAAGAGACCTTTTTGTAGAGCATTCAATTTCCTACAAAATCTATGAAATGAGATATTAATTTTTTCTAGTAGTTGGAAGCGAGAATTTTTCTATCTAATAAAAAAATGACCTCTGTAAGGCGGAGGACCTACCCGTTACAGTTAAGAGCTAATAATTGGAAAGACCTTCTTAGAGATGTCTAAGAAACTATTTTTCAGAACACCAAGCGAAAACAAATTATCGTTTATTTTGACCAACTTTAATATACACGTATGTAGATCAAACATTAGGTCCATTTTAATATATATTCACCCTTTCGTGAGCAACGACTGAGTTGATTTGTTATAATTTTACATCTAAAAATGTAAAACCTGCTTAATTATCTCCCAATTTTCACTTTTTAGGTTCGTAATAATATCAATCAAACTTTGACTGAAAGTTTTAGTTAGAGTTGCAACCCCTAATATGTTCCTCCTATATGTATTTCAAGTACATACAATAAGCGGCCTTTCCACGCTCATTTTTGTATGCAAACATGGTATGATGCAAAAAAAAAACTGGTTTGTGCCGTTTCAGACAGGGATTCAAAAGAGTCTGAGGTTTTTCAAATTTTCTTTTGGTGTCGCTCTGGGCATTCACACGGTCAAAAAGAGTCCAGCAACTCGAGTCTAGTTTTTCTGCATTCCTTTTCACAAAATGTTCGTAAATATTTGTGCGGTTCGACTGCGCAACACCACGCAACACTGCGTGCTGCGTATTTCATTTGTATGTTGGGATAATGGTCACACATTTTGCTTGCAATGAATTACCATGAATATGGTAGAACAATATGCATAATACAAGTACCTACCCGCTAAATAGTTTCAAAGAAATACTAAAGACGGGAATTCCCTAATCCACAAGAATGTATTGAATATCCGCTACTAATATTTTCAAGGCCAAATTTATAATAGGAATTTCCTAATCTTTAAGTATTAAAAACTCATAATTTCTTTACTCCGTATTAAAAATTCATAATTTTTTTACTCCATAATCTATATCTTAATTTTCTCCTTATTTACAATTTGTCATAATATTTCTATTATTCTATGCATACGTATTTGCATATTACATACAAAAATAGATAACAGAACTCAAATTTGCGATCGAATTCATTTGAAACCGAGCGCTCTTGCAACCATTCAAAGGATTTGAAAGTGAAAAGGAATGCTGAAAAGGGTAGCAGCGAGCTGTTACGAACAAGAACACAAAGCGTGCCACCCGAACACGAGTGGCACGGTCCCTTCGTCTTTCCTCGTCGTCCCCTCGCCCACAATAAACTGGTATGAGACTCTTTTGAGTCCCAATGTGAAACGGCACTTTTCGTGTAAACGGTCGAACATGCAATCATACTTTATTTCTCTGTTATTTGTGAACGAAGCAACATCAAGGATGAAATGACAAGGATGACATGAAGCGAGACTCTCTCATTTTCGCTGATTTTTCTGTTATTATTTTTCCCTGATTATTAATATCAGGGAAATTCGAACAGCTGATGTCAAAAAAGGCGGGATGCCAGAAATAAACCCGCTAAAAATAGCTAACAAAAGCAGTGCGAAACGAAATTTCAGGGAACGACACAAATATTTTTGAACAACGTGCAACTACATTTTATTTGCTAATTTAATTTAAAACGTTTATCATAAAACCATGATATTTTATTATGACTTGTATTGTTTCTTTGTTATAATTTTTTTTTTATTTATATGTTTTTTTTTATATTATATGATTTTTTTAAAAATTTATAATCCAGCCATCCAGAACGCTTAGATAAATTTCAAAGAAGTCCTTCCACAGTTCTTCGTTTATCCGTGACGTCATTACACTTCAATGTTTGCTTACGACTGAAAAAATATACTGCGTGCATGATGCAAGCGTTTACACCATAAAACATGTCCATAACAACATCATGTTTTTAAAAAATTTTAAAAACCATCGCACATGTATGACACACGAATTTATTATGTTTACACGCTCATTCATCTCATCACGCCGCACATGCTTGCATACAAAAATGACCGTGTAAAGGCCGCTATATATACAAATAAAACAGTATTAACGACAACATAAACGACTGAGTTGAATTGTTTTAATTTTACATCTAAAAATGTTCATCGGCTTAATTATTTGCCAAATTTTCACTTTTTAGGTTGATAATAAGATCAATCAAACTTAGACCGAAAGTTTTAGTTAGAGTCGCAACACCTAATATGTTTCTCTTATATTTATTTTAAGTACATACATAAAAATAAAACAGTATTACTAAATCGCTTGTTCTGTTTGGTGTCCACTACCCAGCAAGTCACGACTTCCGAAACTTCAATGCAATACATTGAAACAATTTTAGCAACTACTGATATATACACACATGCAACAAATGGTGAATTGAATACGAACATATACCCTAGTTTTTCCTCGTATTGAATTCCCAATGAAAAAAAGAAACAAGTAATTTTCATACTTGAATTAAACAGGTCTGCTAATTGATTAACGAATTAGTAATTTCTATGTTATGTATGTCTAATTTTTGAGAGACCATGGATAATCCCACTTGGAGCCAACCAACTCGCCAAGTTCGTAGAAAGTATGGCAACCGAGATGCTTCAACCTTTGCCTTGCGAAAGCTGAACAGTGGAGGAGAAAGTTTTTAGACGTTTCCACCTTATCTTCCTCCTTGCAACTTTAGCAAGTTGTGTCCTCCAAAATCTTTAGCTTCACCGCATGAGTGCCAAGTTAGGACCCCTATCATTGCGGTGATGTGAACTTTGCAAAGAACTAGTCATGGGACCTTTTACGTTCCACTCTGGGCAACCCCACAAGTGCTGGTTGCTAACCGACCTTTGCTGAGCTCGCGGGAGGTTCATAGGTTCAGCGCCTGAATGCACGGAGACAGGGGAACACCTGTCCGTTTTAATCCTGATAGAATCTTGGTAAGTTTCATGCAGCCTCATAGACTTAACAGTTTCCGACTATTCCTGTGTGGCCAGGCACTCATATAAGTTTGGTATGGAAGTAGGTTGAAGTACATTTGCTGCTACCTTGATCACTGCCACTTCTGCTTGAAAGACACTAATTGGGTCTGGCAGTCTGAAATAAGAGTTAATTGAGAGCTCCCAACAGAAGAACCATTTATACGACAGTTGAAGCAATACATCTGGGGCTCTATTCTGTAACTCGATTCGAAAATCAAACATGTTTCAGCATTCTGTACAAATGAGAAGACTGACTTCGGGTCAAGCTTATAATTATGCGAAAGTTGTACCACCCTATAACAGAATTTTCGAATGCTTGAAGTCAAAATAAAATAAAATAAGTGCAAATTTATTTAAAAAAAAAATGGACTCTCTCGCAATGTCGGTGGTGGACGAGGAAATTATTGAGTTAAAATTTGTGAGAAGAGCTTTAAGAATTTAATATAATGGAGTTATTGCAAAAAAGGTAATTTGTTATATGCATATGTATTATGTTCGGTTATAAACTGTTTTTGCATTTGGGATTATAGCTTCATAAAAAACTTTAGACTTTCCGAAAAGGACTTGTCTTAATAAGCCTAACTCAGGAACTAGCCGTGTCTATACGATCCAAGGCAGTAAATCCAGCTGTAAAACTTGATGCTACTTTAAAATTTCTTGGCCAAGGGGGCTATCAGCAGCAAATAGGGCAAGACCGGTTTGCATGGTTAGCACAATCTACTATTGTACTAATGTATTGCAGAAGTGTTGAATGCGATTGAAAAGACATTGAGTCCGAAACAAATTAAATTTGAAATGAACTCACAAGAAGAGCATGAAGCTAAAAATTATTTATACTTAAAATTTGGATTGCCAGGAATATTAACATAGGTGCCGTTGATATAACTCACATCCAGATGGTTAGACCAGTAAAAGATGAACGTCTCTTTTTTAATCGAAAGCTAAAGCTGTGCTAGGGTAGTACGTTTATATTACGAGTTTTTATTCACACCTATTTATTTTACTTTGTGATTAGATTTGTGACCATAACATGTATATAAGAGCTGTAAATGGAGTCTATGTTGAAGCGGCGCATGATGCCCAAATATGGAGCCTTTCAAACGAACGACAATATGTATATGCTATCCAACTACCAAAATGGAGATAAATCTTAATGGATAATTGGTCGGTGATTTTATGCATAGAACTTACACTTGTATTTATCTTTAGCTTAATACTTACTGGTTATATAATCCACGTTTTATATTCACAAACATGTGGGGGTTATCACGAGTTTTCATATATTTATTATCTTCTCTTTTTATGGTGATTCTGGATACCCATTGGAACCATGACTCCTTCCCCTTATCGTAATACAGAAGAAAATTCACTGGAAAGTTTGTATAATGAAAAATTTACAAAAGCAAGATCAATAATCGAGCGTGTGCGTGGAATTTTGAAAAGTCGTTTTCGATGCCTGGAAGAGAGCTTCACTTTACACCAAAAAAAGTTGTCCAAATTTTGAACGCTTATTGTGCCCTGCATAACAGTTGCTTAACATACAACGTTGAAGTACCAACAGTCATTCAAATTAATGAAGATCGATCTTATTTGACTTTACCCAACATAGAACAAAACGAGTTTTCACGACTGGCGCAAACAGTTCGAGACCGAAGTAAAATCACCTTACGTTCATAGTTTTCATCACGTAACTATGCAAAGCAAATTAACCTTATTAATAAAAAAAAGTAACAAAAGATTATATGATATTCGATTTATTTGAATAAGAATATTAAAATTGAACCGTTGTTTCTTAATTTAAAATTTGGAATTCTTATTTTGCTTCCCTCCATGTCGTTTTTGATTTTATACTCATGTTTCAACTTTAGTTTTTGTCTTTTTAGTTCTGTTTTTTTTCCATTTGTTAAGCAAATTTCTAATTTAACTTTGCTAACGATTTTAAATTATAATTAATGTCTTTCAAAATCTGAACACAATCATTGAGAAACTTTCATTTTCAGAAGATTGTTTTTGCTTCCAGATAATTCTTCAAGATTCTGCAAATCACTTATGTTGGGGTTGTTGTTGTAGCGGTTTTCTAGGCCTTCTAGACCACTAAACGGTAGGTCCCGAAAACAAGCTGTTTCGGGTTCGGACCATAGGGAGAGAGGGAGTAGAGTTCATAGGAGATTCAAAGAGGTGATCAGTGTGGTGCGGGGACTCATTGAATGCAGCACATAAGTTTTGTATGTCGGGGTCTATTCTGAATAGGTAGGAGTTTAGCCTGCTACAATATCCAGAGCGAAGTTGCGCAAGAGTCACTCTAGATTCTCGGTACAATTCGTGCTCTTCGTCTGCAATGGTTGGTGGTTTGACTCCCAGTGAGAGGGAGTCAATGAAGGTGTTAATAGCTCCGCTGTGAACGGCGTTCAGTGCCTAAATCTTATCCATTTGCGTTCTGCTTCATTCAGGCGACCATATTGCGGCGGCGTAGTTGATGACCGGTCATCCGATTGCTTTGTATGTTGCCAACAACGACTCTTTGTCTTTGTCCCAAGTGCAGCCGGCTAGCGACTTGGTTTTCTGGAAAACACCTAAATTAGTTTTTAATAAAACATCGAAATTAAAAAAAAATTCTTTGATCAGGCACTATATAAATTTCACTGAAAACATAGTTTTGAGGAAAATGAATTTCAAGTTTTGTGTTACAATAAATTTATGGTCGCTTGCAGTTGCTGCTAACACCCGATCTCGAACGTTCCAGAGCGCCCGAGAATCCCCTGCTAATTATCGAATATCTTGAAAAGTATTTGTTGAATTTACTTCAAATTTTCAAAGTATACTTCTAAGAAAATGCAAAAAAGGTCGATTCGAAACTCGCAAACAAGGATTAAACCCTCAACATTTTACCATGTTTCTCGTATTAGTCATTTAT